TGGGCGTTCTCGCTTCCTACGGAATTCCTGTCCGCACCAGCTATGTGCCTTCGCTTATCGCTGGCGATCCTTGGACTCGTATAATCGCCACTGCGTACTCGCTTACTCCCTCGAGATATCTCGTAACGCAGAAGAAAAGGGTGTTACTGTCAAACTATGCTAGCGTCCGTACTTGTCTCTGCTCGCATACCAACTAACTCATTACGCGCTCTCCTTCTCTCTCTTCTTCGCGATCGCGGTCTCTCTGCGACATCCGCGCTAGGGACTATCGATAGTATAGATCGTAGGACTCGACTCTTACCTTGTTCGCTGACATTTCAACTGCGCTACAAATTACAAATTATTATAATGCATGGTAAAGTATAAATATGATTAATAAACAAACTGGCTGCAGGGAGAGAGAGACATAACGAGAATGCGACTCGTTATAAAATAATAAGTGAATATAAACATAATAAATTCATAAATACATAGAATAAGTTCGGAAGAATAGGTTACATTGACATATCATTACTAGGGAGAGAGATATATAACAAGTTTGCAATTTCACTCGTTATAACACATACATACGCAAAGTCAGATTACATAGGAAAACCAACTTTGAAATCATGCAATGTTGCCACACCTTCGTTTCATTTTTAGATTCATAAATTTTATACATAAGTGAAAATATAACGACTAAAAACTATTCTAAGTATATCTTATTGCATAATATTCCATTTTTAACTATTTATACGCTTGTAAGTGTACATATAAATATTATACAAGAAATTAAAATTCAGTTATCTAAAGTTAGTAGCACTGATTTCATCCTATATTAAAACATAGGACCCTATCCCCTTACCTCAGCCCCCCCAATGACTAACCCCATCCTCCTTAAACAAATTTTCATGACTGAAAAAAAAAGATTAAGCCATATCGTGATTAGAAATGATAAAAAAATATTATCAGCAACGAGGCAATAAAATTTAATGAATGTAAGCAGATATAAGTATATGATAATAAATAAATGCAGAAAACTATTTTTAGTCTGGAGGATGGAGCAAAATGGAAAAGAAGAAGAATCGAAGAAGAGAAAGAAAAAGGTAAATTGGAAAACAAATTATAAGATACTAAGGAAAAATAAGTGAGGTTGAGGAAAGGAAAGGCAGAGGGAGCAATAGGAAATAAAAAAAAGGTATCAAAGCCCTAATAAGGAGAAAGATAGATGAAATGATTAGCAAGAATGACAGCAAAAGCAAAGGAAAGGCAAAGGTGAAAAGGCAAAAGAAAGTAACAAAGGAAAACGTTGAAAAGAAAATATGCAAGAAAGAGAAAAATAGAAGAGCGGAAAAGGCAGATTTTGGAGAGAGAGAGAGAGGAAGAGAAAATTAATCAATAGAAAACATGGGAAGAAAAAACTGAAAGGACAGGCGCAGAAGACAGAGACGCAAAAGTTGCAGACACACCTACATATGTACATATATGCACAACACATACATTATCAACTACACAAACTGGATACGAGACACAAATAGTAATGTAAGAAATGAAAACCAAATGTAACATATAAGTTGTAAATAAATAAACTAACTATTTTTAGTCAATGGATTTTTTGTGTGAAAAAAATTAATTGAATTCATTTTGTGAAAGCTATTGCGACTGTATAGTGACGCGTAAAGTTGCGCATTCGGCATTCATGACACAAGTCGTTTTCATGAGTCGCGACCCTTGATATATGTTTACATATAGTGTGAAAAGTAATAAGTGTGGAATTAGTGTGGAAGATAAAAAAGAAACAGAGAAATTACGAGGGGGGGTCAATTGGTCTACACAAAATCCAAGAGATGGCGCTCATCACGCTTAAATTATGATGTTTTTGGCAAACAATACTACTAACTAGATATCGTACAAAGTTTCAACTCGATTCATTAAGTCATCTTTTTGTGAGCGTTGGTTGAACAAAAAGTTATTGGTTTATAAAAAAATAGAAAAAACAGAGTTTCGAGCAGTGATAAAACATTTTCATTTGAACGGCCTTACACCAAAAGAAATCACAATTGAGTTGAACGCCGTTCATGGCAAGTCTGCCCCTGTGTTTAAGATTGTTTCTAACTAGATAAATTAATTTAAACGCGGCCGTACAACAACAAAAGATGAACCTCGTTCAGGACGCCCCGTAGAAGTGAGTACGCCCGAAATAGTCAACAAAATCCACGATATGGTGTTGAATGATAGAAGATTAAATATGTGAGAATTAGTTGAGGCCACAGGGATATCATACGGTACAATCATTTCAATTTTGCATGAAAAATTGGGGATGAAAAAAATATCAGCAAAATGGGTGCCGCGTTTGCTCACTGTTGAAAACAAACGAAACCGCGTGGTCACCTCTGAGGCTCTTTTGGCACGCATATGTCGTAATCCGGAAGACTTTTGGCGTCAACTCGTAACTGTAGACGAATCATGGGTACACCATTACACTCCTGAACCAAAGAACAGTTCCAACAACGAATTACTGCAAGAGAACCAGCCCCAAAGAAGGCAAAGACAGTAAAGTCAGCTGGCAAGATTATGGCCATGGTTTTCTGGGATGCGTATGGAATCATCTACATCGACTACTTGGAAAAGGGCCAGACGATCACTGGATAATATTATGCGTCATTAATAGGTTAGCTGAAAGAAAAAATCAGAGAAAAACGTCCTCACTTGAACAAAAAGAAATGCCTCTTTCTTCAAGACAATGCTCGAGTTCACACGTGTGCAGTTTCGATGGCAAAAATTAACCATTTAAAGTTCGAATTAATTGACCATCCACCATATTCGCCTGATTTGGCTCCCAGTGACTTTTTCTTATTTCCTAACCTCAAAAAATGGCTTGCCGGACGACGATTCACGTCAAATGAAGAAGTCATCACCAAAACAAATGCCTATCTTGAGGGTTTTCAGAAATCATATTTTTCTGATGGCTTAAAAAAACTGGAAGGCCGTTTAGTAAAATTTATCGACCTTCAAGGAGATTATGTTGAAAAATAAAGAAAAATTACATACGCAAAACTTTTTTTCCTTCTTTTTATAAAGAATAATTGTTTGATATAATACTTTTTGCATGTTTGAATTTTTCTGTGCGAAAAAATATTATTTATCCGATATTTGATAAAATTACACTCTCAACTCTTACTTTCTACCCCTGCAAAAAATTTACATAGTTTTCTCGAATAGATGGCATTAAAATATTGATGAGAAATAATTTCTACAGTTATATGCATAAAGATTATCGTGTTTGCAGCAACAAATTCATTCTACAAATACTTGGAATATTCAAGGGTAAAAACTACCCTTTTAAAACTGCTAAGGCTTCATTTCAAAGAGTTGTAGGTTCAAACTGACCACAGAAACCGATAGAGCAGTCATAATTACTTATAAAAATATGTTTTAATCACGTTTTTATTTTAATCTGCCAGGAAGTATCGACTGTCCAAAAATGTCCGTGTCGGCACTAATGGGTTAAGACGTAATAATTGCAATAGCAACAAAAAAAGCATTTCGTTTGTAGACCAGAAAGAACTTTAGCGCACCGTCAATGACCCTTACTTGAAAAACTGAATTTCTCCACCCTTCATGGCGGAATCGGGTTCGAAATATGAAGCGTTGTGTAGATTGTGTAGCCTAATGACTCATGCTAACACATCCGTGTTTTGATTTTCGTCTTTTAAATTTGTTTTGTATATGATATGATGCGACGAAATAACGTAAACATAACTTATAGTACGAAGTAAGAATTTGAGTAATTGATAATCATTTAAATAAAATTATCAACGCCACTAATATTTTATTAATAAAATGTATCTCGAACTAGCAAGATAGTCTATAAATGTTAACCATGCTATTAACTGTATTGATTGCAGGATACGTGCAAATATATAAAATTAAAGCGAAAAAGAAAAATAATTATAAAATTATATCTAAAATGTAGCGTAAGAACAATGAAATTTCAAAGGATAACCAATTTCAATAAAATAAACAATTACATTGGCTTACCAACCATAAGAAATATTAAAATAGTAGAGATTAATAGCAAATTAATAAACTATATATCAGAACTAAGAATAAGCAAGGCAATATCAGCAATTCTAGAAAGTTCTCGTACGAACCGTGGAAATTTTGTAGAAATTTGGTGGGGCGTACCGGCGAACCCTCGCTCGTGTATAAATACGCCTGTTTTCGCCGCAACGAGACTCGATCCTCTCCTTGCGCACGACGCGAACGGTGACTGGTGATTCAATAAATGATTGGAGCATGCTCTGATCTAAAATTTAATCATTTGCCACTACTTCGTCTAGCGATCATCCTTTCCTAAAAGCATCACAAGGACAACTCATGGGGAAATATACTTCTGTACGAGATAGATCCTTTGGGTGTTTCCTTACGAAATATATTTAATAATTTGATAGTCTAGAGAATCTGCATAAGAATTCTCGGCAAATGTCCAGGTGCCTCGCCTGACGTTAGGCCGGGCTTTGTGCGGATTCTTTTAAAACGTTACGAGAGTATACTTTGTTTGCTTAAACCCGAGATTTCTCTCGTCAAATCAAATAAATAAGGTAGAGAGTGACCCCGGATCAATGTTACGGTACTACGTAGGCTTCTTTTCCTACGAGTGTTAACATTGTCTCTGGGACATACGTCTTACCATTGCTAAGAGTTTCTCACGTTTATCTTAACGCGGGCACTTATTAGCTAAACTTGGTTTATTAACTATAGACAGTATCAAATATCATAAGATACACTTGATGAAAATATTCTTTTTTTATGTTATTATTCATTATACAAAAGTAAATATGATGAAGCGCGAAAACTCAAATTCTCACTTAACACTACGATCAATTAATATCGAGTATGAACTATTAAAGAAAATGTATAAGTTGTAGCAACTTAGGTGAAACTTTATAGTATTATAATTAAAAATATATAAGAATAATAGTATGTATGCTTCAGAATAAAAGTTGCATAACAGTTACCATTTTTTCCTTCTTCGGATCAGGTACTACTGATATTTTTTTTTGTGCTAAAGTATCCGTTTTATAAATTAAGGATGTAACTTTATTCTCCAATACATCCAACTGTGTGCTATTGAGTAAACAAGCATTGGCCATTAATTTTTCTATTGATTTTGTAATTCCTTGTGATTTTACTATCTATTACAGAAGTATGAAATTATCAGAAATAATGATTATATAATATGAACCAAATAGCAAAAAGTATTACATGTCATACCTGGGAACATTTTGACGAGTTGTCATTAGAGACACCTACTATAGTTTCTAAGTAACCGAGCCTTCTTTCTAAATGACTTATTCGAGCTAAGTCTTGAATTTTAGATTTATCGGGAAAATAAATCATTTGATACTTGAGGATACCTTCTTTCGTTTTTTCTGTAATCGATGCAGCTGTTTCACTCTTGGGCAAAGTCATTTGAAATTTATTCTTTTGCTTAAACAGTTCAATTTGAGACAATAATTCTCTAAAAATATTATAACTATATGAGAATTAAAGTAAGTTATAATAATAGCATATTTGATAAGATGTTACAAAAAGTCTTCGTACCTGAATCTTATTTCTTCGTAATTTGATAGAGACGATTCATTGTCATTCAGTAATTTATCAATACTTAAAGCATCTAACTCTCTACCCATTGCATCTATTTCATACATTAAATCGGTCAAAGACTGAGGTTCCTCTTTTTCTTTGAGATGGTTCTATAAGAAAAAGAAGAAAATATATTTTCTAGAATTTAAAATTATTAATATACTTATTAATAATTTACTTTAATATAAATAAAATTTACTGATTAATATAAATAAAGATATACAGAACGGGTGTAAAGCCATGGTAAGTCCATATACTGATTTTTCTAAAAATTATATGTGATAAACGCAACATCACGCTATCTTATAATACGAAGGTGGGTCAGTAAGTTCTTAGGAATATATAGAAAAACATTTTTTGGGTAGAAATTTTTTATTTTCCAGCATAATATCCTTTTAGCTTGATACACTTTTCTACGCGTCCTTCGAGTTTTCTTTAGCCACCAGAAAATATGATTTTGGAAGTTCCTCAAAATAGGCATTTGTTTGTGCTATGATCTCCTCGTTCGAGATGAATCGTTGTCCGACAAACCACTTTTTTAGGTTTGGGAAAAATTCACTAGGAGCCAAATCTGGTGAATACGATGGATAGTCCACTAATTCGAACTTCAATGTCTCAATTTTGGCGATTGAAACTGCTAAGTTTTTACTCGTGCATTGTCTTGATGAAATATAATTTTTTTTGTTCAACTCAGGAAGTTCTTCCTTGATTTTTTCGCTTAACCGGTTCAATAATGACGCATAAAATTTTTCAATGTTCGTTTGTTTTTTTTTCTAAATAATCAACGAAGATAAAATCACATGCATCCTAAAAACAGTGGCCATAATCTTGCCGGTCGATTTCCCTGTCTTTGCCTTCTTGGGGTTTGGTTGATCTTGTACAATCCACTGTTTTGACTCTTTCTTAGTCTCGAGAATGTAGTGGTGCATCTATATTTCGTCTACAGTCTCTTTGTTAAATAGCCACCGTATACCGCTTATCTCTAATCTACCAAAAATTGGATACCAACTTCCTATGAAAATGTCAATAATTCTTGCCAAACCCAATGTACAAGCATTAGAGATCATCCTCGAATACCTTAATAACTGTAACATTAAACTGTAAACTGATTGAAAATGTAATTCACCATCAAGTTTTTTTCCGATCTGTAATTAATCATTGTACTTTTCTAATATTAATATACTCAGCAAATAAATCTGTATTAAGATTTGAAGCTTAAAAAAAAAAAAAAAAGTTTGATACTGTTTTATAATAAGAACTATCTTACTTCTCGAAATAGCCACTAACTACTGACATCACTTCTTCATCATTGAAAAATCTTTGACCACAGTCATTTTTTTAAGTTTAGAAACAGAAAATAATCCGAGGGAGCTAAACCTGGCGAATATTAAATATGAGATAGGAATTCAAACTTTAATTCATTAATGTTTGCCATCGCAATAACGGATCTGTGAAATGGTGCATTGTCTTGATGAAACACATCTTGCACACAGCTTTTTTTTTGTCCAAATTTTTAGATAATATATGATGTATCGCACTTTTTGAAATGCCTACTATGTCTGCTAGCTCGCGCACTTTCAGTGGACGGTCATCCAGTACCAGTTTGTGGATTTTCTGCACCGTTTTTGGAGTCGTCACTTCAGTTGATCGTCCACTGCAATATTTATCTGGACAACTCGTACAGTCTCGTTTAAACTCTGCTACCTAATATTTCACTGTTCTAAACGAAGGAGCAGACTCATTTAAAGTAGAATCTAGTTCATCTTTTATATTGGTTGTTCTGAGACCTTTCAAATAAAAGTATTATATTACATAACGAAGATCAATTTTCTCCATTTTCACAAATTCACTGTCAACGTTCACAATTGATAGCTGCCAAACAACGACTAAACAGCATGGCGTTTTCAAACTTGAAACATATGCTTTATAGATTGCTTACTTTCTAATACAGTGATATTTTTCAAACTACCCCCATCTCTAGGTTAAGCTAGGTACTTCTAGGACCACCCTCGTAATAATATAAAATTTATTGTAGTTTTCGTCAATATTAGATATTGAGTTTAATGTTAAAAATTCAACTAAACCTAAAACGTAATTTTTATGCAATGAAAGTTTAACTGGCGGAAAATAATGCGCTTATAAAACTGACTAAGAGTCAAAGTGAAAGAACCTTTCATGACTTCGAATACGAATGGTAATTATATTGTAGTGTTTTTACTTATTCACTTCCACATAGAAATTGCAGACAAAGATAACCACAGTCATAAATATCAAAATGTTGATATCTCTTAGTATTGTACTTGATACCGCCAATTCAAAGATATATCATTAAGGCGAGAGGAGGTTTAAGATTGTCAAAACTATCAAAGTATGTGACATCATTTCCAATTTTCCGATAAGCAACCCAGTGTCTTCCAAGTTCATTAACGTTATCAAAATTTATTATGGCTAATTCATAATAGTGTGGTCCAGAAATTGGCAAGTCGTTTCTCATAAATACGCCGCAGAAATTTTATATGTTTATAACTTTAGCATACTTAATCAAGTCATTAATTGTGAAAACTATAACAGGCAAGATTACTTCGATCTTTTTTTTTAATCCTGATCCTGAATACGGTCTAAGATAAAGTCCATAACCTGCTTTGTAACGTCTTAGATACGAGTATAATCCTTTTCCTATGGCAATTGCTTCCATAGTTTTGTTGTGATTTTTGTTCTGTTTTAATTCTCGTTTTACTGTTTTGCATCGTTTATAGCTTTAGCAATCCCTACAGCTCTACCAGCTAAAGCTTCAGTAGTACTTAAACTAGCGAAAAGTTGTATAAGAAAGGATAAAGTTCCCCTAATTTTTGGAGAAATCAATAGAAATCAACGAATGATGATGTTGGATTTATCGTCAGCTTTTTTAGTTGCTGCACGAGCTTTGTTTAAAGCTGATTTAATGACAGTTTTAGTAGACTTATTTTTTAACCATTTAAAAGTGTCAGCTTTAATTATGTTTTTCAAATTGATCGACTTTTTGCAACAACTTTTACTTTTTGTCTTCTTTTAGCGTTTTTTTTCTCTTATACTTGAGTTCCATACCAAATTTTGATTTTAATTTCATGATTTTGTCGATAGCATAAGCAGTTTCTTTTTCACCAATACTAAAATCGTCAGCTAAAACACCTCACCAAGCTTTTTCTGTAAAACTTTAACTGAAATATTTCTCGCTTCAATATTATCGCGATTTATCGAGTACGCTATATTATGTTTTTTTGCAAGCAGCGTCAAGGGGATTGATGCTTGGACCACCATGCGCTTAAGCTTCTGTGATTTTTTTTAACTCCGATATCTTCTTCGTAGGTTTGAATTCTCCTTTAGCAATGATATTAAGGCGTGTGAGGTTCATCTGTAATAAATCGAAAATCAATACTGATTAGAAAAAATAATTAAAAATCATCAGTGTATAGACTTTGAATATAAAAAAAATAGTTTTTCAATCATTCGGCTTGAATATTTCAAAGCTAAATCTAGCTTCCAATAATTCCCTTTTTTTCTGACTCAGAATGAAATTAGATTGTGAGTGTTGTTGATCATTAGCTTAAGCTAGATTGTACTGGGGGGACTGTAGGACTAGCTTATATGAACCTTTCCCCACTCGAATCTCCTCCTGCAGCGGCTTGGACGGCTCATCGGCGTCCAATCCTAGTGCTTTTATCCTTTCTCGCTCGATCAATGGGATATCGTAATGACCCCAAGGAAGCTTATCAGTTGTTCCTGGTAACAAAATATGGTCATACGCGCTGAGTGCAATCTTTGTCTCTTTCTCACTGTAGAGCTGATGATGTCGAGATCTGATGTTCTTTTATAATCGTGTCAAAATCTTATTTTCATGTAGACATTTGACGTAATTGTCAAATGTGATTGTTGCCTTGAGCACAGAACTTTTGATACCCTTGATCTTTTTTATTGGATTCTTATTCTTCATTCTGACACTGTACATTTTACTTCTGAGATAAACAAGCATCACGTTTCCAATGTTCTTTTCTTTTATCCTTCCTAATACTTTTTTATTAGCTCTTAGGATGTTGAATGGATTTGGATCAGCAAAGTCTGAGGTATCAAACTCATGGGTATCTCGTTGTATAATTTCATAAATGTTAACATTTTTTACCTCGTACACCAGACTGTTGGTATACAGTAACTTGCAGTACTTGCTATTCACAGCATTATGATATGTCGTAATAAAAGCGATAGACATGAGTCTTTGATAAGTCAAGAATAGCAAAACCAATGTAGATGAGTTTTTTTACCGAAATTTCTGCTTGCAAGAGTTGTACTGTTATTAAATTCTCATCGAAAATATTACTACTATGGTTATTTGTCCTAACAATAAGAAATTCGGTACCATATTGCCCATTCTACTTATTTATCAACTTAATAGTTGATTTGCGTTTTTTCAGTGCGTTTTTTCTCATTCTCCATAGTTTTTCCATATACCGCATTATTTAATAGCTTAAAAAGCATCTTCTCAAACTCATTTTTATCATTTTTATGCATCTCGCTATTCAAATCGATGTATGCTTTGAGTCATCGACTTTGATCAAACTTTAAAACATTGTAACGGTCCTATCTATGAGCTAATTTATTATATCACTGAGCCAGTCTAACGCATCTATCTGTTTATTCAAATCAATACATTAAGCGGCGCTACCTCACCGTTTACTCGATTGTATTCATATAAGAGTCGAATTTCATAATCAAAATAAATAGCGTGACGTTACAAAGTAATAGATATAAATATAATGATTTTTGTTATTAAAAAAAATATGTTAATTAGAGATAATTTTAATATAACAAAAAACATTTATTATATAGATTTTAGTATGTAGATTCAAAATATAATAACACAAATTGTATTTAATTATTGAATAATAATGAATTTCAATATGCAAAGTTAATTTATTTATTACACTAAAAATATGAATTATTAGAAAAATGTAAATAGTCCAAATGCAAAATGAATATGAAATGAACATGAGTAAGATCAGATCAAAGATCTGATGATCTTGATCAAAAATTTGATCAAGATCATCAAATGAACATGAGTAAAATGAACATGAGTAAG